GAGCGCGTGCTGCCTCCCGCCACCAGGCACCCCGCGAGGGTCCCCATCCAGCGCCGGAGCAAGGGCTGTCGGTTCCCTTCTGGCTCTGGCTGCTTGGCCTTGGTTTGGTTTTCAGTGGTGGTACCCTAGAGCTGAGTCCGTACCGTTTCTCTTCAGGCATAGCTGGAGCTCTGGGTTGCCAGCAGCCCCTTCCACCTTTAGCTACTCGTATTCCCTCATACCTTTCTTACATGCTATTACAAGAGCAAATCCTCACAGCTGAAAGTTTTCATTCCTCAGCCAAGTACAAATATTCCTCAGAACAGAGAAGTTCACTGATCTAGGCTCAAAAGCTGGCCAGCAAGACGAGTCAGGACTTTCTTCTGCTATTGTCATCTCAGGGTATTAGCGGCTCTACTGCAGGGTTCAGAACAGTCTGTTCTGCAGCTCTGCAGACCTCTGTTTATGGGAGGAGTGTTTGGAGCATCTGTCAAACATGTTCAGTGTTTAACCTTTATGCAACTCTGTGAATGGTTTCATGATTGTGTGATCATTTTCTTCTTGAAGAGTGTTTTCTTTTTAACTTCTAACTACCCACAGGGATCCCTTGAGTTTTCTTACAGACCATGAGAAAAACCTTGTGTATAAGACTGAGAGCCCTCCTAAGTCCACCCCTGCTTCCTTCCACGCCAGTGCACAGGGACCCTTTCAACCTACAGAATTTGTGATTGCATAACAGCTTCGGGTGCCAGGGGGAAATTTTGAACAATTGAGCATCGTCGGGATTTAGCCACAATAACAAGCACTGATCACATGAGCTTTCTTACAAGCACTGTAGCAGATGAGGGAAGCTGTGAGCTATGTTCGGTCAGTGTATGTTCAAGCTCTTTCACACACAAATGGTTTTGCACAAGTGAGAGGTAATGGACTTACCAAACAACTGTCTAGACAGGCTTACTTCTCTTTCAGAAAATCCATGTCTTAAGCCCAGTTAATTGGGTTTAACCTGGCTATTTCAAGCAGAAAAAAAATAATTTGGAGAGTTAAACAGGTATACTTAATTCCAACAGTACTTGTCTTTACCCAGGTTGAATTCCAGCAGCCTAAATATGGATAGGGTTATATACAGGGGCAGACAGGAATAACCATCTGGTTCTGACTCCTTTTTGGAGAATATGGAAATGCCAGCAGATTCTTACTGCCATCAGTTCTCCAAATCCAACTGTACAAAACTGACCATTATTGAAACACTCTGTAGGTATAGCTGTGTCAATACAGGTCTCCTTTCCACTCTTACTTCCTTAAAAATAAAAACCATAAACTGTGCTTAGGTTCATATTGCTTTTATGGCTTTTATTTGTGGCTTAATATTTTATAATATTCATAATATTTCATAAATTAAAGCTGTCCTTGGTGTATGTATAGGATGTCAGTTGTTTCTTTGTGAACTTGAAGATCATCTATTGATTTTTGTATTGTGACTCTTCTTGCCACATCCTATAGATCCTGACAGCAAGCGGAGATGGAACCTGTGCTCTGTGGGATGTTGAGAGTGGGCAGCTTCTACAGAGTTTCCATGGTCATGGAGCTGATGTCCTGTGCCTGGACCTGGCCCCTTCTGAAACGGGAAATACATTTGTCTCTGGGGTAAGCAGGAGCTTCTGCTTGTAATAAAATAAAGGAAAGTGGAAGGGAAAAGGCAGCAAAGCAGGAGGCTCGTGATCTTACTGAGAGAGTGCTGGAGTATGTGTTGGAAGCCCCAGTGCAATCCACTCGTTGCAAGCACATTTTCCAAGCTGGAGCAAATTAAACCCCTGACTGCGGGGTCAAACCCACCCAGCCAGTCTGACTGCAGTTCTGCTAACTTAGCAAATTCCACCCCACACCAAAGCAATCCAGCCTGAGATCAAAACAACGCCTCTCCCGGGAAGGGAAAGCTCAGAGTTAGAGCAGCAGGCTCCTACCGCAGTAGAGGTGTGAGCCCCTGTGGATAGGAGCCTGGCACAGCAGACAACTTCCCGCTTTTGGCTCCTTTCTCATGCCCAGCTCTCTGGAGCCAGATGGGGTGTGCCAGGCAGTGCTTGGCATCGAAGTGGGGCTGCAAATAACGTGCGTGCCACTGTGTCCCTCAGCTGCTCCCCAGAAGCCAAGGGGTCGCTTGGACACTGGCTAAACCCTTGTACAAGTTGGAGTGGGGAGATGAGGCATGGCCACATCTTCAGCTGTTGCTGAGTCCCTTGTGCCTTCTAGTGGTACCAGAGACTTTTAAAGCCCCTTCGCCTGTCAAACACTGCCTGCTCCCTGTCCTGGCCCAGAGGAACCCACAAACTTCGCTGGAGCTGCAGGTCTGGTCTGGGAAAGTACCCAGGGCATCTTCCAGGTCTTGTCCTGCTGCTGAGGGATCACTGTTCCCAGGCAGCTGAGTCATTGGCATGCAGCCTGGCAGTGAGGCAGGCAGGGCATAAAGGTGAGTGAGCTGGGGCTCAGCACCTTCTCGAGATGGTCCTGGCCTTTCTCACATCAGAAATTGAGTGTGCAGGTGAGAGCTGGCAGGAGGTAAGAGATGACCTCTCTTACTGCAAGCAGGTTGCTACCAGTAACTTTGCTGAAGGTACCTGGTTTCTGAGCCCCACCAGTGCTGGCCCAGGACTGGTCCTGTGCTTGCTGTTGGATATGGCCCTTGTGCCAGTGGGTGCCGACCATGGATTAGGGGATTCCACATGTTGTGCATGGAGTCATTGTTCCATCCCTACACAATAAACCTGGACCTCGTCTGTTGTGGCTCTTTTATAAAATTTGGCTGGCCCAGCAGGAGCAAAGCCCAGCACACTGGCCCAGTTTGCCTGCTGCTATCACAGCTGCTCCAAAACGTGACTGAAAGCTAATTCCATCCCAGTGCATTACTCCTCCCAGGCTTTCCTGTCACTGAGCTTGCTTCCCAGAAAGGATAGATTCATTCTCCCTGGGAACAGCTCAGCTTATTATAGGGCAAAGAATCGCAAGCAGCTATGGTGCTGCTAAAAGAATATGTCATACTTGTGTCAGTGTAGCAGCTTGGGCATGTCCATGCCTACAGGGACTCACTTAACTCATCACATGCAAAATACCACTTCAGTGAAGGTCTGTCTTATATCATGTCAAAGCAGGTATAGCCAAAACAGTGTGACCTGAAGGTATGGTAGCATAGGGAGATTCCTTGTATATTGTGCCTATGTAATACCATAACCTTGAGTTGGAATAAGCAATGCCAATACATTAGCATGTAGGCTGGGTGCTGTTACATTTAATGACTGAACTGAAAATCCCAGCCCTCCTGGGGCTGTGCTGAGTGCCTTCTGAGCACTCAGGGGGCCCACCTCTCCGCTGGTTTCTCCTTCAAAACCTTAGGAGTCAAAGCACTAGCTTGTCAGATTGGTCTTGCCCTCAGACTCCCAGAGAAGTCAGTAACAACACTGCACATGGAAGCAGTACGAAGGGCTGGGCTTGGGCTGTGGTGGGGTTTGAGAGGGAAATATGCTGAGTCCGAAATGTTCTCTGTCCTGTTTGGTTTCCCCTGCGCAGAAACCACAAGTTGATACAAAGGAACATTACTGCTTTTAAATAGTGACGACATTAGTAAAAAAATAGTGATTTCATATTAACAAGAGAATTTTTAAAAAAGAAAGAAATATGTGAATTGTTAAGAGACTGTTTAATTTAATTAGCAATCATATTTGGTTAAAAATAAATAACATGTGTGGAACGGTCTGCTGGGCAGGATGCGCTAGCTCGGCAGAAGCAGCAGCTGCCTGGCTTGCCTTGTGCTTCCCACGTAGCGTCAGAGAGGCTGGGCCTACCGATGGCCTGCCCTTCAGCAGGGTCCTATTTATTGAAATCTCCCATCACTCTTAAAAGAAAAATCCATGCTCTTTTTCCCGTCACTGCGATTGTGACAGCAGCAAGGTACCGCAGCTGAGAGCGTGGCCCTATGGGTATGAGATGGCTCCTGCCCCGAGGACATTGCAGACTACGCGGGCTGAGCTCCTTGCTCAAAGCATTCAGTGTGCTGAGCATCTCGCAGCAAGCACAGAGTGTTAAACGATCTTTTCAAAGCACAGCTTGGAAGGGCAGGTTAGAGCTTGACAGCGAGATGAAATGCTGTTGTGTTTTTTTTCTCATTCCAGCCACGCCATAGAGCATGTGGGTACAGAAGCCATGGCAGGGGTTAACTCTGGTAGGAGGCTGGACAAGAGACCTTCTGGATGCACTGATTTCATTTTCTATTTCAGTGTGTGAAAAGAATTAGTTATAAAACTTTAAATGCTGGGTATTAATTTTTTATATTGGGCATGTTAAGTGGTAAGGAATGAGTCAGTTATGCAGCCCTGTAGCATGGTGGGACTGCAGACACAGGCATGGCAGCAGCACAAGCAGAGCAGGACTCTGAGTGCCGGTTAGTACAGGACTGCCTGCACGAACACCCCAGGCCTGTCTGAACCCCACTGTGCAGCACGGCAGTGCTATGCCGTGCTGGTCTGCAGCACCGCTGAGGCTCCAGCCTTCATGGCTTACTCTGCTCCTAACTGCAACTCACCAGGCTTGGGGGTACCAGTACAGCCAGTTCTGGGGCTGCTTTGCTGTTTAAATCCCCTCAGAGCTGTGATATTTAGAGCCTTTCAGTGTAGCTGGGCTTGATGACCTCTATCAGGCACATGAGGCGTGAATGTCACCATTTGCACAACTGTAGTGAATTTTTTTTGTCTTAATAGGGATGTGACAAGAAAGCCATGGTTTGGGATATGCGGTCTGGTCAGTGCATCCAGTCATTTGAAACCCACGATTCAGATATTAACAGTGTCAGGTCAGTATGTTTCTGGGAGAGGACACATTTGCAATGTTGAGCAATGCACTGGTTCTATTTTTGAAGTCTGACCTCATCCAAGTAATGTAATGTGTTCTGGTCTTTTTTTACTCATGCACAGATATTACCCAAGTGGAGATGCTTTTGCCTCTGGTTCAGATGATGCTACGGTATGTTAATTCAGCAACCTAATTTAGGGAAGTTCTGTTACTTCCCAAGTCAGATTTTCCTAAAAGACTAGGTCACATCCACAGAGAACTTCAAGTGACTAAACTGGGCCTGTGATACCACAGTTGCAGAAATAATAATGCTATAATAACGCTATAGGAAAAATCTGGTAGCACTTTGTAGGGCACCTCTTCAAACTTTTCTACATGAAGGTACTGTCCAAACATTAGTTTCAGATTTTCTATGTTTTGAAGTTTCATGATAAAAATGAGTTGTCTTAACTGGAAGAGCTTTGGCTTCATATAGTTGTTGGTCACAGCATGGGAGGAACCAGATGAAATGGTGCAGCTTGTGTCGGAAGGAGCAGCACAGTGGAAGGGCATGAAGGGAGCCTGCACATGTTGTGTGCACATCAGAGCAAGCAGAGGTGCCGTGGGCTCAGCAGGGATCTGGGCACACGCGGTCAGCTGGCCTCTCCAGCCCCTGCATCCTGAGAGCACAGCCCCAGCGTGGCTTTGGCCACGTACATCTCCTCCCTCTCAGCCCGACTCACTGACAACACTCTTCACTGCTATGAGTCACCACATTCAGGTCATCCTAGATGATACAATAGCTCTTACTGGATCTTACTTGTCTATGAGCAAGCTGCTAGGAGGGGCACAGTATGTATTGACAGGTAATTTTGGTCAGCACATTGTATGCAAAATGCTGCTTATCTCCTGATGCCCTCAGGCCCCTGGGTGATGCATATGGCTGGTGGCTCTCCCTGCAGCTGGTGGGTCTCCATGGGGGACTGGGCTCTGCCTGTAACACAGCCCTGCAGGGACTGAGCTGGCAGTTAAGTGTAACTTGAGAGCAGACCTTTGGGAGGCACCTGGCACCTTGTTTCTCCTGTTTATTCAAACATCACACCAAATTGCATGAGGTTGAAGACTCTAAAGGACTCTGCCCTCAGAGCATTTTTTGAGTCTGCTCCAATACTGGCTAAACTCAACAGAAACATTCCCTTTGTCTTTGCTGGATGTGGAGACCTTCCAAGGCTTTTCTGGAGCGACTGTAAGCTGCTTTTAGGTCTTAAAAGCTGCGATTATAAATTAATATCTCTAGCTCTGTGGTGAGCCCAGTGCCTCTCTGCACATTCAGATGCGGTACCGTGAGCACTTGGGATGCTGAGAGAGCAAGACGGAGAAATTGTCCATCATTAAATTCCAATGAGAGCACTCTTTTTATGCCCAGTACCACAGGCTCTGGGCTCCTGTGCTTATTAATTTATTTGATGGGGTTTTTCTCTCTTAACTATTCCTGACACCCACAGCTTGAGCAGGAGAATAGGAAATTCCATCTCTCTACTTTTGATGGGGGTTTTGGCAGTTTCCATCTACTTCATTCTTTAAATGAAGAGGTTGGTGTTTTCAGCGTTACAGACTGATAAAACTGACTGGTGTCCTTGAGCTCATTTATATACTTAGGGGTTTCGAGGAACAGATAATCCTGACTGTCTGGAGGGAAACCATAAAAGTATGCTCATGTGGCAGTGCTGTCACCTGCGGTCACCTCAACTCCCTGTCAGGACAGTCTGATGGAATTACTCATCAACATGGAGCACTGGGAGACCTGGACTTTACATACCTGGCAGCTCCCCACCGCCCTGCGAATGAAGGAGCCTCTCTGTTGTGTGCAGGGTTAAATATCAGCCATTTTTCATTAGTAAAGTCTTAATATTAGCAAACCCATCTGGACAGTGTTTGCTTAAACTTAACTTATTGAAGAAGGTTTTCAGTTCAAGTAGTTTCAAAAGTGCATTTTGATTTCAGCGCTAACAGACTACCTTTCTGCATGGAAATTAATTCTAATCTGTCTATTTATTATTTCCATATTAAACAAGCCTAAATACGCAGGCAAATGATAAAAACAGGAAGTGCAGATTATAGAGGTGATTGGGGATTTTCCAAGAGAATTGAAAAGCAAAGATCTGTATAAAAATGTATTATTTCACTTGAATTGTTTTCATGTAGGTTTTTCAGACAGAGGGGCCTCACTGAAGGGCAGGGGCTGTTTGCTATCCTGTCTTACACAGAGCAAGGACTACCATCTAGGCTTTCCTGTGCCTAGTGACTGTCTGAGCACCGTGCCTCGTGTTCATGAGAACACCGAACACTGGTCCGTGTTCTCAAAGATGACCAGAGATTTAATCCTCTGTCTCCCAGGCTCCAGCTGCAGCTAAACTGTTGTGTTTAGAGACTGTCTCGCCATGCACCGCCCCCCCAGCAGCAGGATGCCCTCATATGTAGGAAACCACAGTGGGGAAGCAAGAGGGTGGGGGGACCTCAGTGGGTAGCCATGGTCTGAAGCCCACCATTCATCTCTTTATAGCAGGAGGCTTAGAGAAGTGGTTTGGAAGAGCAAGTTCTTCACTCAGTTTATACAAAACAGCCTTGTGTTGCTTAGATCCCTGTTAGACTCCAGAGGAGTCCCAGTTACAGCGGGCAGAAATAGCAGAAGGAAAGAAACCAAGCAGCCGCTTCCCATGACGCCTGTTAGGCTGCAGTCCTTCCCCTTCCCATTTTTTAAATGAAATGTAGTAGCCATCGACTCCAGCCTTTACTGAGGCGTGTGTGTTGGTTTTGTTTTAATCCTAGTGTCGTTTATATGACCTTCGTGCAGACAGAGAAGTAGCAATTTATTCCAAAGAGAGCATCATTTTTGGAGCTTCCAGCGTGGACTTCTCTCTCAGCGGTGAGACCTGAACTTCGGAGGTTATCTTGGTGTTGGGATTTGAGGGGAACTGTGAAATTTTACGAGTTCAATTTAATAAAGCATTTGTTATTAGTATTTATTAAAAGTAATAGTAAGTACTAAAGGAAACATTTAATGCATGGAAGCCTTCTTTTGCCTCTCTAAAAATAATTACTTTTTAAATAACCTAACTAGCTATTGCTTCATTGTAGTGATGAAAAGTATTTTCTTGGCCCTACTGAAGGCAGGAAATATTTTGCCATTAACTACAGCTGGGCTAGAATTTCACAATAATGATTAAAAACATTTCAAAGGGAACATGAAATGTAACTAGGCTATTAAGCACACTTACATAAATAGTTTATAAAAGGATAATAAATGTTTAATAGATGGTAAAAGTGTGTTAGAGGAGCATGAAGACGGAGACATTACCATTTTTCACTACAGGTCTGGAGACATGAGATCGAGTCTTCTCTCTCCTGCCCCAGCACAAATGCAGAGCTCCTCCAGTCACACTGGGTGGGGATGAGTGGGTGGTGAACTGCCCTCTGCTCACGACAGAGTAAAATGTCTCTGTCATGGTCACAAGCACCACAGCTTGTCCCGTTGGGGACAATGAATCACTTACCAAATTGTCTACTAGGCATTCAACCATTTGTATTCAACTTGTTGCATAAAGTCTGAGCAAAATATTATTGCATTAGCTGTTGAAGTGCTCTTCAGTCTGTTGTGATTTGGAGTCATCTACCATCTCTAATGACTGAACAGATTCTATATATTTGACTCAATTTTATCTATATTTTTAACTATAAATTTTAATTGGTTCAGCATTTAGTATGGATAGCTCAGCAGTGGAGCAGGGGTGTCTAAGAGGAGCACAGCTAGCCTGGGGGAAGCAGTGGTCAGGGCTCGCTGTGTGCAGAGGGTGGCACAGGAAAGGTGGATTGTGGCTTACTGGGTGATGAACGTCCCAGCAGGGACGTCCTGCAGCAGGAGGCCCTTGCTGCAGTCAAGACGAGTTACCTACTTCTGACCTCACTTTGTAAAATCTCACTCTCTTTGTAGGTCGCCTACTGTTTGCAGGCTATAATGATTACACCATAAATGTCTGGGATGTGCTGAAAGGGTCCCGTGTATCCATTCTGTTTGGACATGAAAATCGTGTCAGCACCTTGCGGGTCTCTCCCGATGGGACAGCGTTCTGCTCAGGCTCCTGGGACCACACTCTCCGGGTAGGTGCTGGGAGCACCTGCCTTGAGTGCTTCTTTCTTTGTTTTTCTGATTGTTTAAAAAAAGGGCATGAGGGGGAAGGGTTGTTACAGGAAAATTGACTCTAGAGGGACTAACAAGGATATAAAACCACAGTGTAAAACATGAACAGAAAATTCAAATAAGAAGAATCCTCACAAAGTGCTAGCTGAACTGTTACGGGAATTTTTAACTTATGGGTTAAATAATATCATTGCTGCTGATACACTGTACCACTAATCTGACTGCCTTGCCAAATTTTAATTAAATGTTTGATAGAATAGTCAATGTCACAAACGATTGTTCAACTCTCTCTCTGCAGATCTGGGCTTAACCTGAGATCCTGTATGCAGAATCACATGAAGACTGATACCCTGGACTACAAAAACTGCATAAAAAAGCCACCCCTCAAAATCAAATGTTTGCTACATTGCAGAAGAGTAACACTGAACCCACAGATTAACACAACGAGGTAGAAAATGTCTGCTTGAACACACAGCAAGCATCAACTTGTAGTAAAATGAAATGTTTTTAATTCTGTTTTGCAGCTATCTTCTTTAATTAGAACTAGTTTAGGTAATTATAAAGGGACTTTCCTCTGAAGTCACCTGTATCATAAATTGAGTATTTCAGTGCACATTATGTATTTATTTGCATGAATTGATTTCCTTTTTAAAGTTAAAAAAAAAAAAAAAAACAGAAAAAGAAAAAAAGATTTCTGATTTTATCAGGATGTAGTATAAGACTTTGGAAACATTCCATAGTAGTGCATTGGATTTTGGTGTTGAAAAGTGGAAAGAAAAATAATTCTGATACTTTATGATGGTGTTATGGATGACTGAACCTTGGTAGCAAGTAGAGGAGCACCTACTGTGAAGGTACTGGCTGTTGTCATAAAAATGTATTTTTTGTACAAAAAAAGGAATCCTTTCAATCTCTGTTTTTTCCTACTGTCTTTTTAGATAGAAATAAGTCTCTCATCTCTGTTACCTGAATATAAAGAATCTAAATATATACAAAATGGTAAGTTGCAAAGATGAGGGATATAAACATGATTTACATAATCATGAGGTAATACTTAACCAGTAGTTTCTTAGAAATTTTTAATTGTATCACTTGGTGAGTGAATTTTCTTTTACTTAAAGGAATACTACATGCTAAGCACGAAGGGGTACTACACGCTAAGCACCGTTATACTGATGGTCAAATCTTTTCCAAGTCAGTCATAGTCATTCTGTGGTCATGATTCTTACTTGCGTTTTGAGCAGTTCATACTACTTTGGCAGGGCAACGTAGCTTAAACGTGTATTAAGGTAGTATATTCCCATTTTAAGGTCCTGCTGCAATGTCAGAGCAAATGTCATGCAAATGCAGGTCAAACCTTACAAGCCAAATCATACAGTCCTTACTCTAACAGTGATCTCCCACTGGCATGGACATAGTTTTGTTGTAGTCGGACTTGAGAATGAACAACAGTGAGTTGTTGAAAAGCTGCTGTGAGCCACAGTTCTGCCAGCATTTGATACTGTGCTCACCAGAGCCGGCAAGCCCGTCTGATCCAGGAGCTGCTGGGTTTCGGGGAAGCAGTACAGCCAGCCATATTGCTGGCAGCACCCAGCCCTCTGCGTGAGCTTGGTAGTGCAGTACACACTGGTGGGAGTACTCCCATGTGGAGTTGGTGCTGTAGAATTAAGATTTAACCAGATAAAACTGAGATATACACTTAATTGTAGAACTACTGGGAAATTATATCTGCATTTATACGTTGAAAACTATTGAGACTAGAGTGCGTCACCTCTGCTCATACTGATGGCTCTAACCTGAGCAAAGTGCTGGAGTAATGCTGGGGTCTTGCATGGTCTGGCCTTTGAAATGCAAGTGGTGACATACATCTCTGAAAAGATCAAAGATATAAATTATATTTAGATTGAAACAAGAGAAAACAAGCCCACTGGAGCGAGCTTGATCACAAGCTCACTGATCACTGGAGTTGGCTGTTCACATGAGTTTGATGATAATATCCTCATTCTATTTGAAAGTGGAATTTTTTTACAATTCTGTAAAAGTTTTATTAGAAACAAAGTCTCCTCATTCATTAAAGCATTAGGTTCTGTGAATCCATAACCCATTAACCTGGGACACTGACATTTGTATCAGCCTTCAGTCCCTAATGAAATAGTTCTGCTGTTTTCACTTGGAAAAGTCAACTCCGATGCTTTGCAATATTTGTGGCAAATTATCCCTGTAGCAAACTGAATGCACTATGGAAATGTCATATAGAGCTCACTGTGCAATATTGCGTCAATACACTGTACACATTTGCTCAAAAAAATAATGTTTAGATAGTATTTATTGGTAAAATGTTTGTTTCAAACATACTACATTGTGTTGATACTTATGAATGGGCTAAATACAATAAATTGTATTTTACATATTGAGAACATGTATATAGTTGTTTTTTCCATCGGTTAGGTACTTGTAATGGTACCTTTTTTCCCAGTTTTTTGGCATTTACTTTTTGCACTCTACAGTTTCGTAGACCATTTGCCCTGCAAAAATCTAGGGTGAAATACAGACCTACCAGAAAATTGCTTCTGGAATATCTTCTGGAAATACCCAAGGTGAGCCAGAGCAACTGGGAGTGAGCAGTCCTTGAAAGTACCCGAGACTCCATCTGAGCTCCTTCTGCATTCAAGCTGCCAGAATTCAGGTTGTGTTTTCCTGCTCAGAAGGATCTAAGATGTGATGTTTTCTTTCCAGATCCTCATCGTCATACCCAGGAATGCACTGGAAAACACAGAGTATGTAGAGTATGTGTTTTGTGGGAGCACAGGATTCTCCCTGCATTGCGGTGGGACACCAGTGAAAGCTGGGCACTGAAATGCTGTTGAGGGCTCAGGCTATCACTGTTTGGGTAAACCATATTTGCAGATCACCTTGAGATGCAGCAGTGCAGCTTTCTGCCTTGTCAGTAGAGAACTGTGCTGGGGTCAGCTGTCCTCTCCACTTTAGCGTAAGGTTTTGTGGTCAGCATGAAGGTGGTTGGTGGAAGTGCTTAGTTTAGACACTGAAAAAAGCACCTCCTTCATTCAGGCTCATTGTTTCATTTCCTTTCCTCTGAGGGGCTGGAGAAAGTGCTGAGACAGCTTGTTCTGAGTGACATCAGTGCCCAAACCGTCACCAGTTCCAGTGAGAATGAGGCTGACATCGCATCTTGCACTTCTGTTCTTGCAGGGAGAAACCCTGTGGTTCTTGCACTTTGGGGGCGCAGGGACTTGGCATCTGTGAAAATCACCTTTTTATTCCTGAGGTAATGGTGAAAGCTGTGAACCAGGACGGGCCTCAACTTCCCATCAGACAAATGAAGATAGAGGAACAGGGCACTGAAGTATCCATTGTTTTTCTTACTGAAGGTTGGCCAGGAGGGCTTGAGACACACACACACACACCCCCCGCTTTGGTCTGTCAAGCTATCTGTGTCTCGGAAATGCCTCTACTCCTTTCCAGAGGGGGAGGTTTTAACCTTCTTCTTGTCCTTTCCCCAGCATGTCCCAGCCTCGGAGAACAGCCGTGCAGCTCTGGGTGCAGCAGGGAAGCAGCAGTGTCACGTCAGACACCTGGCACTGGCCTGACCTTCCTGACCAGCTCCTCAGCTGAAGCCAGGAGGTGAAGAAGCAGCAGGCCCGAAAGGTTACACAAGTGGGCTATAACCACCTTAAACATATGGAGAGCAAGGGAGGTATAGCTAGGGCAAAGTCACTGTCAGACGGCTCCGTCCTGTTAAACAAAAATGCTATATAAACAGGAAGGGTGGAAAAGGATATTGCTAGAGAAAGAGCAGCCTCTCCCTCTTGCTGTCTTGCTGTGAGGAATGCAATAGGAAATTCCTGCTCCAGGATTAACAATTGTAAGGAAAACTCCAGTTAAAAAAGCACATGTGTAAAGCACTGGTGAAAAGTAAAGATACCACTCCAGCTACTGCACATAAACACAGACTAGATTTCCCCGCTTGAAAACAAAACAAAAGCCAAATATGGGGATGAAAAACTAGGAGTTTGCTTTAGGAATGACTGTAAGAGATCGGGCCAATTCTTGATAGTGATCTGAGAAACTGCAATAGGATTGATTCCAACCATCTATTTTTAGATTTTCTAATGGGATGTAAAATGGAGACAGAGAGCTGTAACTCAAGATAGGTGGAGTGTAGCCGAGCAGTCCCATGCTGCTACGTTGGGCACCTCGAGCCCGTTCTGCAATGAGAGGTGGGAGTGTGACCCGGCCCCTGGCGGCTGCCACGTCATCCCTCCCAGCGCCGGCGCGGGGCTGTGCGGTGACGGTGCAGTCACAGCCACGCTTTGCAACGGGCCGCCATCTGAACCTCACCTGCAAACTGGCACTGAGCAGGAAGCACAAGTTGGGTGTACCTGTGCTGGGCCTGCCATAAATCTTGAGGTGGTATTTATGGGAGTTTTGGTGATGCGTTAAGCAGTTGGTGGTACTCGCAGCTGGGATGCAGGGGAGGTGTCTAGCCAAGATGTCTCCATGGTGCTGTGCAGATGACACTGCTCGGCCGGTGGTGTTCTCAGCCGTTTTACTTTACACATCAGTAACCACCTTTGTCCCACGAAGGTCCTAATCTTAAATTTTGCCTATGTGCCCACCAAAAAGCAAATGCCACTGCATTTGTGTCGTGAACACACAACGCACTCCTATGAAAACCTGAAGCTGCTTTGACGCAAAGAATACAGGTTCGGGCCCCTAATGTGGCAAAAAAGGCCCGTGTGAAAAAGGCACCTTACGGTCCGCACCCGGTAACGCGGCGGGCCCTGGGGAAGCGCC